TGTGGTTGAGATATCGGTGTTGGATCTGAACCAAGCCTTGTGTACAGCCGAAAGCAGATCAGAACGGGTCTGTTGGCTATAGGGAGTGGACAACATGTCTCGTCTAGATCTCTGGTCGATTTTAGAACAATGTTTAGAGTTGGTGCGTTGGGGAGAGACGGCGCCTTGTCTGGTCATATACAGAACTCGCTCTGGGTAGATCTCGGGAGACGTAATCTCTCGTATATAACCCGTGGTCGTCCTGCATGACGTCGACCCATGGAGCTCCTGACTCCGGTATCTTCTGGCACTAGCAGACCACCTGCGTCTCGTTGAAGGAGGTAAGTGATGAACTGGGGGCTTGGATCCAGATCTACTAGGATTTGGTCCTCGACAGCGGATACTGACAGACCCCTCGCTACTACAGTCATCACTATCACTGTGGAAATCCGAATCGGTAGATTGATTATCAATTGTTTTTGGCAGACTGAATTGATACGTTGAAAGAAGAAGAGGCTTTTTGGTTTTGGATACCTGAAACATGTTGGTTGGTTTCCTTGCTGTAAATAAAAACAGAAGTACGATTATTTTTAAGAGAGAGAGAGAGAGAGGGGGGGAGGTAACGTCCATTCGACACAAACTAGTTCATTTCTTGACAATAATAATAATAATAATATATTCGGTATTCATGAAGGTTTTGTGGACGGTAAAGAAAGCGTACCTAGTCGTTCGGGTGAGACAAAAAAATTGCACATTGATGTGTACGTTAAAATTTAAGAAGGGTGAGCAGAAACGCCATTGGCTGTAACCATAGCAACAAAATTCACCGAATGCTATTGTAAAAACGATAAAAGTATTGCGTTAAGGACACTTTAGACCCCATTTCGTTAAATATTTAAATATATAGAAACAGTCCAAAGCAACGTGTGTTCAAAATCTAACAAAAGGTTTCCGGACTAATTGATACTATTTAGAATCACAAATATGACCCGAAACATTACTGGAAGTGTTAGACAATACTGAGTGTTTCGTAAGGGATTTACGGGTCCTACACTCAATATCAAATATTAAAATCCTTACCTATGTTGTAAAATTAAGGTTTCTATAAATCATAACCTTGGTCATCTTGATTCATCATGACTAAATATTGTCCATCATCTTGTGTAGAACTGTCAATTATCAAGTTATAAATTATATATTTGATATTATTGGTGTCCGTGTGTCGTTATTTGTTGATTGTCAACAATAAATGTTAACTATTACCACAGCTAAACCACCACGAGCTAACATTAAAGGGACTGTCCCTAAACAACAACACACTCGCATTAAAGGTTCTGTCCCTAAACACCCACCCGCTCGCATTAAGAGGTTATCCCTAAACAACGGCACTCTCACATTAAAGGGGTAATCGCTTAACAGCGGTAAGATGGAATGTTTCATCTAAATACCATACAATTGGGATCGTTGCACTGAAATATTCTCCCTTTGTCCATAACTGCGTGTTTAATTGAAAGAAGTACCCCCATCTGGACCTTTGATTGTTGGGCACTGACATATACCCCCCCCCCCACACCACCACCACCCACCCACACAATCAATCTGTCGCATCGATAGTTTTCAACGAAATATCCCATTCTGGCACTTGGATGGTTTAAAGCTGGGATGACCAATGAAATGAAATGATGGCCAATGAAATGAAATGATGACCAATGACAAGTGGTGTCAAATGCTATAGACACAGGGTTGCTCTACTTTCAGTTTCAGTCAAAATATCGATTCGATTCAACGGAATTTCCAATCCAACGAGATATCCCCCACCCCACCCCTCCTTGTCATATAACAACAGTATCTTGATTGTAGTTAATTTTATTTGCTGTTTGGCTGGGCTGGCAAAAAAAAAAAAAGAAAAGAAAAAACAACAACAAAACATATGGCCTTTTATGTCTATATTCATCCAGTGCTGGAATGTAACTAATTTTAACCTGCTCCTTTAAATAGCCGTCGGTTGATGTAAAACACAAAAGTAAAATTTGGAATCAACCCGACATATTTGACTCAACTCTAATTTTTAAAAAAAAACAAAAAACGTATATGGTGTTGACGATGCCTTAAACTGCATGGACAAGCACCTTTAACATTGAATATATCCTCCAATAAGAGATATAGACACATGTATAGAAGGTGTTCCTACAACAATAACTATATATTTATATATTTATCAATACTTGCTATAATAATAACAATAACAGTAAACTATACAACAAGAAGAAACTCTAATATACAAATTATTCTATTGTACGGATAGTTACTATACAAAATAATATTATTGTACTTTACGGCCCACTGTCGCTTTTATTGGCCTTTGACAGATCTTTACAAATCGTATTTAATGCGTAATGACAGATTCAATGTGTATAGAAAAGTGGTCTGATACCTTACTAGAAACTTATAACGTTGTCTGGTATTCACAAATATTTTTTAAAAGACCTAATATAATGTTCACATTTTGTAGAACATAAGATACCACTTATCATGGCTGTTATTGTACATTGGTATCAATAAGATGATGAGAATATAAAAAGTAAAAAAAAAACAAAAAAAACCCCCAATATCTTGGTGTATAATATAATATTTATGGAGAGAGAGGGGTTAAACGTCCACTCGACACAAACAAGGTCATTTCGAGACTAACACACGTTCAATTTTATTTCAATAATTCCCTTGCGCGTAGGGGTCTTTAGCAGTGGGAGGAAATTGGAGGACCCGGAGAAAACCCACGAGGTTGGACAGGCGACCCTACTCCTTGTAACGTACAACCGGGGAATCGAAACCACGCCAGTTGATTCAATGACAGGCCTTGTGATACAGCGCGCAATTTTTTCTATTTAAACAACAGTATATTCGGTCAAATACAAGACGAGTCTTTAAACTCAATTTTAATGATTCTAATGCAGGTGGGGGACGCGGTGGCTCAGTGAGTAAGACGCTGACTCGCTAATCTGGATGTGTCGGGTTCATCCCGGTGTTGGCCGAGAAAGCTCCTCGGGATTTTCCGGGGTGGTTTCTTCTTGGAGATAAATGTTGCTATCTTCTGTATTATCTTTTTCAAAAGAATGTTACGGCCATAATGTTTAAGACCCATTTTTGATCCATTTTACTTACAATTTAGACCATGTTTTTGTATATCCTTAAGATACAAAAGACAGTTGGTTATGGCGCTGATTTTATTTTTGATTTGACATCAGGGGCATGAAATTAATCAAATATATCAAAATAGATAGACTTGGTGGTGATAGCGTGTGGTGGCCATCTTCACTCCATTAAATGGTCAGATTCTAATCAAAGTTAGATTTATTTTAGTCAAAGTAGGCTACATGTGGTGGTTTGGAGACTTCCCAGTGGTTGTAGAAATACAAACACTGGCGTGATCGTAACAAAACTAACATCTGAGTAGCTAGTTGTTTATCGTTGTACGATTTGAGGATTTATAATAATTTATACAATAAAATCTGCGATTTTGTTCCGTTCCAGGCAATCTACTGGTGCTTCATGAAAATTTTAAGATTAAACTGAAAACTCATTTATTTTGCACACTGAAGGAACCATAATATTCAACTGATGACATACTTATTATTTTTAACTTGCAACTGCATTCTATTTTATTTTGTGTGTAATTATAGTGTTCTTCCTATATTCTACTTGTATAATGTATATGTTTTGTAGTTTGGGAGTGACTTATCAAACTTCCCACTTTAAAATGCTATTGCATTTCTAATGATTTTAAATTTATCCTGATATTACATGTATATATGTCTTTGTAGTTTAGGAGGGACCTATGGAAGATTAGTTTTTTTGGCAAACTAAATACGTTGCCTCATTAAATAAAGTTTTTATTATTATTATTATTATTATTATTATTATTATTAGAATACCTGGTCAAACTGGAGAAAACAATATCAAAAACAACTGTTTTCAAATGGCCATCTTCACCCCCCTTTAAATAACAACTCCACCCCGCTCTGCGGCAATTTAATTAAAATACAGATCTATATTTCGTTTCGTTTTTTTATACTTTTGAACTATAATGAAATGAAATGAAATGGGGTTTAACGTCCTACTGTTCTGCTCCTATGCTGGGCTAATGAAGACGGGCATACGCCATACAGTGTGCTATGAGGGAAATTTTGCACGGGCAGCGGCACTATCGCCTACTCTTATATCGAATTCCAACTGCCAAGGGATCTTTTACGTGCATTCCAATGTATACACCACGGGACCTCGGTATTTCGTCTCATCCGAAGGACTAGACAGCTGTCCTTGTCAGGCCCTCCGTGCTGCATCACTGACAAGGGGGGGGGGGGGCCACGCCGGAAAATCTGGATGAACTTTCTCGGTCAATGCAGGGATCGAACACCCGACCTCCAGGTTAGCTAGCCAGCGAAGCTAAACGAAATAGGATCTGTGTTTTAAACAGATTGGCTCAACGACAGTGCTAATTCAAAATTTCACAAACTCTTTGATTCTGCAAGTAAAGCGCTGGCTTGCTAACTTGTGAGGGGTTCACTAGTCCGCCGCTATAAGAAATGCTATAAATATGTGTATCAATAAACCTAACCCTAACCCTACCCTACCAACCCTAATAATAGATATGGACTTATCCCGAATTAATGAGCATTCCCCGCTAACTTGGGGTCCTGGGCTCGATACTGGTGTTGGCGCAGAAAGTTCATTGAATTTTACGGCTTGTTTCCAACTGGTCATTGGTGTGGGAAGGGCGCAAGAAATAGCGTACCCCTAGTCATTCGGATGGGACAAAAAAACGAGATCCTGTCAAAGAACACTTGATAGCTGGAATTCGAAATTCCCTCATAGCACTTAATGGGTAGGAAAGTAAGGCGTTAAACCCATATAATTGCATTTATTATAATATATTCAGCAAGATACTAAAATGGAAATAGACCATGAAATACCTGCAGTTCACGATGTTTAAAAAAACCTTAAATAGAGTTACCTCCCTTGAACAAGTGCAACAGTTTGTTTTGATTTTTTGTCATGATGGAGTCGTTCGATTTGATGATGAAGATTCGATGTATTTTGTTTTTATTGTTAGTTGTGGTAAGTTAATTATCTTATTCAATAGTTATCTAAACGTCTTTCTGTGGTCGTAGATCAAACTGCCATGTATTGCATTGAGACACAAACGACACAATTCGATGGAATACAATGTATGTTTACTCAAATTACTGAGCCATGGACCGCAGGAACCTGACGGCGCTAATGCACTTTCGTCCACCTAGTACTTGCCGTGGTCCTAGAGACTTCAAATTTGCTGAGGGTGTTCCAGGGTGTTATCTATGATCTCACACCAAATTTCAGGAACACCCTCAGCAAATTTGAAGTGTCCAGGACCACGGCAAGTACTAGGTGTACGAAAGTGCATTAGCGCCGGACCAGACAATATATAATGGTGTACTATGCATATATATACGGATAGAAGGTCAGATTCCTGTGCATGGACTCCAATCGGATGGACGTTTTGACGTCTCTTTATCAAACAAATCGTACAATGATCAAATATGATTGGACATTATGAATGCAAGTAATATATGCATGGAAATACGTTCTTGTTAGGCGTTTACATATTAAAATGACCAGCCGTCGAGACTGTTCACCAAAGCCCCCCCCCCCCCCCCGCAATTATTTTTGTTGCCAGGAGATAATCCAAATCGCTTATTTCACTGTGAATTTGTAGAATTCGTAAAACAATTATTTAGATTGATAAAAACTCATGTCTATTAGGTTATAAAAAAGTAGTCTAAATACATTTGTAAAATTCATAACTTTTGGTCTCATTTCGTTAATTGAAAACCAATCTTCCTTCATGTCAATGCCCTAAGTTATTACCGGTACCTTGTATTTCTGTATTTACAGTGTTTGGTAGAGGTGAACTGTCGTAGAAATTTTACGATAGATTACGAGAACAACACTTTTTTAAAAGATGGCAAACCATTTCGTTATATATCTGGAAGCATTCACTACAATCGTTTATCACAATCTCACTGGAAGACCAGATTACTGATGATGAAATCTGCCGGACTCAATACCATTACTACGTATGTATGACATGGTTTACATCCATCTTGAATCATGGGAAGACGTAGGCCTATCACATAGACAAAGGGAGGCCTATCACAAGAGGCATGGATATCACATGACACAAAAATACCGGTAGTCAAAATGATTGTCATTACTAATAGAGGATAAAATGATGTCCATTCCTTGAAATACCAGGAGATTTAAAGACCTGCGGTGCCTCAGTGAGTAAGAGGTCCGGGGTTTGCTATCGGTTTCCCGGAGTTTCCCCTTGTCAGTGGTGCAGGACAGAGGGCATGACGAAGGCAGCTGTGTAGCTGTTAGGTTGGGACAAAAAAATGGAGGTCCTGCGTGCAAATTGTTGTACATGTAAAAGAATCCTTTAAGAGAGAGAGAGAGAAAGAGAGAGAGAGAGAGAGAGAGGGGAGAGAGAGAGGGGAGAGAAAGAGAGAGAGAGAGATAGAGAGAGAGAGAGAGAGAGAGAGAGGGGAGAGAGAGAGAGAGGGGAGAGAGAGAAAGAGAGAGAGATATATATAGAGAGAGAGGGGAGAGAAAGAGAGAGAGAGAGAGAGATAGAGAGAGAGAGAGAGAGGGGAGAGAGAGAAAGAGAGAGAGATATATATAGAGAGAGAGGGGAGAGAAAGAGAGAGAGAGAGAGATAGAGTGAGAGAGAAAGAGAGAGAGAAAGAGAGAGAGAGGGGAGAGAGAGAGAGGGGAGAGAGAGAGAAGAGAGAGAGAGGAGAGAGAGAGAGAGGGGAGAGAGAGAGAAGAGAGAGAGAGGAGAGAGAGAGAGAGGGGGGAGAGAGAGATAGAGAAGAGAGAAAGAGAGAGAGAGAGAGAGATATTAACATCCACTTGACACACACTAGATCATTTCGGAACTAAAATATGGTCCAATTCTATTTCAATAATTGGCTTGCGTGTTGGGGTCTTTAGCAGTGGGAGGAAACAGTAATAGTCAGACCTGAAGAAAACCCACAAGGTTGGACAGGCGACCCTACTTCTTGTCACGTACAAGCAGGGAATCGAAACCATGTCACTTGACAGACCTTATGAACTAAGGCAAATGCATTAGCCCTTTCAGCCACACAACACCCCTTAGAAATGAAAATCCAATAAAATGGGGTTTAACATCCTACTGTTCTGCTCCGAACTGGGCTAATGAAGACGGGCATACGCCATACAGTCTGCTATGAGGGAAATTTTGCCCGGACAGCGGCACTACGGCCTACTCTTATATCGAATTCCAACTGTCACAGGATCTTTTACTTGCACGCCAATGTGTACATGGGACCTCGGTTTTTCGTCCAATCCGTACGACTAGACAGCTGTCCTTGTCAGGCCCTCCGTCCTGCATCACTGACAAGGGGGAATCACAACGAAAAATCTGGATGAACTTTCTCGGCCAATGCAGCGTCTTACCCACACACCCTTAAATCCTTAAAATGTGTATTTGTCTGTTTCAGATATTTACCATGGAATTACCATGAGCCTAGACCTGGTGTTTATGATTTTACTGGTAATCTTGATGTTTTCCGATTTCTAGATTTGGCCAATTCATTAGATTTACTTGTTATTTTACGTGTTGGACCGTATACATGTGCTGGATGGGATTTTGTAAGTATGAAATAATCTAATTTTAGATGTGATTCACCCTTGTTCGTAGTGAAGAATGGAGAGAGAGAGAGAAATGAGATCTACCTGTTTTTTACTGTATCAGTATTTGACTGTAATTTACTTGATTCTCTAGTCACCCATTTTACTCAATCCATAGTACTCTGGATGTTTAATGTTATTGTTATTATAGAGAGGATTGGCTGGATGGTTGATGTTTATTGTTGATGTTGTTATTATTGTTATTTTAGGGAGGATTGGCTGGATGATTGATGTTTATTGTTGATGTTGTTATTGTTATTTTAGGGAGGATTGGCTGGATGATTGATGTTTATTGTTAATGTTGTTATTGTTATTTTAGGGAGGATTGGCTGGATGGTTGATGTTTATTATTGTTGTTATTATTGTTATTTTAGGGAGGATTGGCTGGATGGTTGTTTATTGTTGATGTTATTATTATTGTTATTTTAGGGAGGATTGGCTGGATGATTGATGTTTATTGTTGATGTTGTTATTGTTATTTTAGGGAGGATTGGCTGGATGGATGATGTTTATTGTTGATGTTGTTATTGTTATTATAGGGAGGATTGGCTGGATGGTTGATGTTTATTGTTGTTATTGTTATTATTGTTATTTTAGGGAGGATTGGCTGGATGATTGATGTTTATTGTTGATGTTGTTATTGTTATTTTAGGGAGGATTGGCTGGATGGTTGATGTTTATTGTTGATGTTGTTATTGTTATTATAGGGAGGATTGGCTGGATGGTTGATGTTTATTGTTGTTATTGTTATTATAGGGAGGATTGGCTGGATGGTTGATGTTTATTATTGCTGTTATTATTTTAGGGAGGATTAGCCGGCTGGTTGATGTCAACTGATAATATAACAGTTAGAACCAATGATCCAGGTAGGATACAATTCTGTTTTATTCTTGTTTATATGAACAATGTTTTGAACAACTCTCAGTTTTCTTGACAAATTATCATAATAAAATAAGCAATGAAGTTGAATATGTAGTGTATAGGTAATTAAATACAATTTAATCAAATAACTTTCTTCCAATAAAAGAAATAAATATATATATATATTCTTGTAAGTAATTCATAGTACTACAGATTCAATTGAAAAGAAACAACTTCCTGTGAGATTTTATAGGGGAGTTTGATGGCCGAATGGTTAGCATGTGCATGCTGTATCGTAAGTCTGTCATTGAGTCAACTGGCGTGGTTTCGAATCGCCGGTTGTATGTGACAAGGAGCAGGGTCGCCTGTCCAACCTTGTGGGTTTTCTCCGGGTCCTCCAGTTTCCTTCCACTGCTAAAGACCCCTACGCACAAGGGAATCATTGAAATAAAAGTTAACCATATGTTAGTCCCGAAATGATCTAGTTTGTGTTGAGTGGATGTTGACACTGCAGTCTTCTACCTTCTCAATTGATATTGACTATCAAATGTGGCCAGATGTGATATTTTATTTATAGTTTCAAACTTCTATTTGAAAGATTGAAATGATATTAGAATATGTTGTCCAGTCTTTTAATGCTATACCTGACCTGCCAGTAACCTGGATGATCAAGACAGCTAGTGTGCGTGCGGAACAGATTATTAAGCACAAAAAGTACAAAACAAAACTTGAGAAATGAAAATAAAATGTTTTTTTTTATTTCACCCACCAGGCCCATGAAGTCGGGCTTACTCCATGCAGTGTACTATAACCTATAACAGAAAGTTTGCCCGGACAGCAGTCATATGTCAGTCACATGACATACTCTTATTTCAAATTCCAACTGTCAAAGGATCTTTTACTGGCACTTCTGTGTGCACAGAGGACAACAGAAAGACTTGACAATGTTCCTGAATGTCTGTATTTTTTCACGTTTATTTTTCCAGTTTATATGACGGCTGTGTACAGCTGGTTGGATTATATCTTACCCAAAATCCATCCAGTTTTATATGAAAATGGTGGAGCAGTTATTTCTCTTCAGGTTTGTTAATGTCTGATGACTGTCAAGATAAACATATTATTATCCCAGCACATAATCAAGAGTGTATGATTTGTAGCGTTTTTGTTCTGTGGGCTGAAGTGCTTGAGAATTGGGAGATTAATGAAGTTCCCAGACAAAGATCCTTCTTGTTCATGATTTAGATAGATATAACTGTGCCACAGATCATGTTAGACAATTCTGTCACCCAACCTCCCAACATGTTAGACAACTCTGTCATCCAACTTCCCAACATGTTAGACAACTCTGGCACCCAACCTCCCAACGTATCAGACAACTCTGTCAACCAACCTCCCAATATATCAGACAACTCTGCCACCCAGCCTACTAACTCTACCACCCAGCCTCCCAACTTGTTAGATTATTATTAGATGTAAATACTACGACCAAAACTAGGTTTATATCTGGCGTATAGACGGTGAGGAAACACGAGTTCATAATATATTATAATACATTTTTCAGATAGAAAATGAATATGGTTCGTTTGGAATATGTGACCATTTGTACTTGAAGAATCTTCGAGATCGTTTCCGTCTTCATCTGGGACCGACAGTTGTTCTCTTTACCACGGATGGATCGGCTGATGTTTTGGTAGAATGTAGTAAAATAGAAGGGGTTTATGCGACAGTAGATTTCGGTTTAACTGGTATGTACACCGGGTATACGCATGATGTATTCCTTAATTTATTCTCAATCTGATTAAAATACAGATCCTGTTTCGTTTCGTTTTTTATAGTTCAAAGTTTCGTTTTATTTCTCTTTACTACACTAGGATCTGGAAGAGTTGTTATATAACCCGCATTCTGGTTGAAGTCACATTTAAGCAGGGAATCGAAACCACTACAGATGACTGAATAACAGAATTTCTGATACAGCGTGCATGTGCTAACCATTCGGCCATCCAACCCCCGCACAGAAAAAAAACCATAACAGCTGGAGTAGGATATAATAGTAGGCCGTAGTACCGCTGTATACATGTCTTCATTATCCCAGTCGGTGCTGATACATTACAAACAAATATTTTATCCTGGTTTTGTCTGAAATACCTACTATTGACATGAATCTATGTTAAATTTCTTATGATTTAGATTATCTATGTTTTTCATGTGATGCTGGAGATTGAGAAGAGAGTTTGATACTGTTGACCATCATTTTAAATATAATTATAATGATCACCATTCTCTCTCTTCGTAGATTTTCCTGAAAAAGCTTTTGCTCCTCAGAGAAAAGTGGAACCTAAAGGACCACTGGTAAGATGTTTTATTTACACATGTCCTCTCTCCACACAACTTGCCCATATCCTCTCTCCACACAACTTGCCCATGTCCTCTCTCCACACAACTTATCCATGTCCTCTCTCCATATATGGACAGCTACTAGTTTGCAAACATTCTGATGGTTTATTGATATAAAATTGAACCATATTTTAGTCTCGAAATAACCTAGTTTGTGTCAAGTGGATGTAAACATTATTTTTATTTGGTTTGCAGGTTTGTTCTGAGTTCTATGTGGAAGGTGATATTGACTATTGGGGTAGGAATTTCTCTATGTTAAATTATCGAGAAGCAGCTGAAGGCTTGGATATTATTTTAGCGTATGGTGCAAATATTAACTTGTAAGTATTAAAGATACATTCCCGCGTACAAACTGGGTGATTTGATGATATATTTGGACTAAAAACATATTCAAACTAATTAATGTCTCATAATTTTGCTTCAAATCCTTCTTAAAACATTGTAATTGCCAAGGAATACCCTGCTATAAAAATCGATCAAAAGAGGTCATGTTTGTGTCACGTGACTTGCCTCTCTCGGTACCTATAGCAACGGGGGCGAAGTCGGAGGAGAATTCATTGCATACACAAGATGATGTTGTCTTTAATCACTGACCATTTTATTACAAATATCGAATCCTAATTAAATTCTCTGATAAACCACTGCCCGCGTCTTTTTCCGTGATTTTTATCTCAGAAAGTGTTGTACGTCTAACTCTTCATAAAGTTTATCAACATGTACACCAAGCACTCAATCTTCGCATGCAGAAAGTGTTGTACGTCTAACTCTTCATAAAGTTTATCAACATGTACACCAAGCACTCAATCTTCGCATGCAACCTTCGACGTCACGCATGCAGGTATTCCTAATCATTGGGCTGTCGATTTGTCCTGTATACACTCCATGAGAGTTTTTCAGGGAATCCAGTATTTTTCTTGTAAGATTGGATATCTCTACTTTCCATATATACTAAAATTGCCATACTTTTATTGGAAATAACCACCCGATAAATACTTTTCTGGGAACCTATCTTTAAATAAATTTGTCGGTTGGGTCATTGAATGGAAGATTGACCCTAATTCCTGAAGCTAATAACTGATTTCTGGTGACCTAATTCTGAAAAAGTCTGAAGTCCTAAATATTGAAATAGCTTCCCAGCTTGGGTGGCCAAATAATCTTGTGTGCGTTTTAATCTTTTACCATGTGTTAGTCCCGAAATGATATCTTTCTCTCTCTGGTTCCCTCCCACTGCTAAAGACTCCTACACACAAGCAAATTATTGAAATAAAATTGAATGATATGGTAGTCCCGAATTGACCTAGTTTATGTGAGTTGACTGTGAAAATTACCCTGTTTATTTCACCTGAAAAAATTACCCTGTTTATTTCACCTGGAAAAATTACCCTGTTTATTTCACCTGGAAAAATTACCCCGTTTATTTCACCTGGAAAAATTACCCCGTATATTTCACCTGGAAAAATTACCCTGTTTATTTCACCTGGAAAAATGACCCTATTTATTTCACCTTGAAAGATTACCCTGTTGATTTCACCTGGAAAATAACTCAAAAATAAAGACTACTTGGTTGTACTGTTTTTAAAGCTTTTAGTTTCAAATTTATCAGTATCTTTCATTTGATTTATTTACCAAGACCTGGAAGAAGTAAAATTCAGATTGATTTGCCCATAGCAATTTGTTCTAGGTTGCCCGTATTCCAAGTCCTTGATTGACTTAATCAGATGCTGGTTGTTTATTTATTATAGGTATATGATGGCTGGTGGAACAAACTTTGCTTATTACAATGGTAAGTAAACTTGATATATTACAACAGTGGTAAGTATAACAAATATATTACAAATATACAGGTGGTAGTCATAACAGAGGTTATTATCTAACAGGTGGTAGTATTATAACAGAGGTTATTATCATACAGGTGGTTGTTATTATGGAGGTTATTATCATACAGGTGGTTATCATGGAGGTTATTATCTTACAGGTAGTAGTATTATAACGGAGGTTATTATCTTACAGGTGGTTGTTATCATGGATGTTATTATCTTACAGGTGGTTGTTATAACAGAGGTTATTATCTTACAGGTGGTTGTTATAACGGAGGTTATTATCTTACAGGTGGTTGTTATTATGGAGGTTATTATCTTACAGGTGGTTGTTGTTATGGAGGTTATTATCTTACAGGTGGTTGTTATTATGGAGGTTATTATCTTACAGGTGGTTGTTATAACAGAGGTTATTATCTTACAGGTGGTTGTTATTATGGAGGTTATTATCTTACAGGTGGTTGTTATTATGAAGGTTATTATCTTACAGGTGGTAGTATTATAATGGAGGTTATTATCTTACAGGTAGTTGTTATAATGGAGGTTATTATCTTACAGGTGGTTGTTATTATGGAGGTTATTATCTTACAGGTGGTTGTTATAATGGAGGTTATTATCTTACAGGTGGTTGTTATTATGGAGGTTATTATCTTACAGGTGGTTGTTATCATGGATGTTATTATCTTACAGGTGGTTGTTATAATGGAGGTTATTATCTTACAGGTGGTGGTATTATAATGGAGGTTATTATCTTACAGGTAGTTGTTATAATGGAGGTTATTATCTTACAGGTGGTTGTTATTATGGAGGTTATTATCTTTCAGGTGGTGGTTATAACAGAGGTTATAATCTTACAGGTGCCCGTTATAACAGAGGTTGTAATCGGACAGGTGCTCGTTATAACAGAGGTTATAATCATACAGGTGGTACTTATAATGGAGGTTATTATCTTACAGGCGGTTGTTATAACAGAGGTTATTATCTTACAGGTGGTCAATATACTGGAAGTTATTTAAATCCGGTTATAACCAGCTATGATCATGATTCACCAATAACGGAAGGTGGGAAGATAACCCCTAAATATTTGGCAATACGCAAAGTTATTCAAAAAGTGAGCAAGATTTGTATTTTACTTATTCTTTTATCTTCACTCACGGCAAAACATTAAAGAAAATGGATCTGAGAATTTGGAAATTGTTGAAAAATGAGGGGTGGCAGAAGGGAGTCGGTCAAGTTATCTAATACCTTAGATCAAAAGGTCTGTCCTTGGGTCAAGTAATGTGATTTTAGTCCTTGACAAGGTTCAACCCACTGCTAACAACCCCTTTGTGCAAAGAAAATAAAATTTACCATATGTTAGTCCCAAAATGACCTGACTTGTGCCGAGTGGACAGTAAACCCCATTTATCTCTCTCTTTTGTTAAAAAATGTTGTAACAATTACAATACAATCTGATATTTCTATATTAGTGCTAATGACTCACAAAATTAAAAAAAAAAATCAACAGTTTTAGAATTAAAAGAGATGTATCAGACAGTTATGTTTCTTTTTTTTTTTCAGTACACATCAAAGACACTTCCCCCAGTTCCACCTTCAGTACCTGTATATGCTTATGGTCAAGTCAAGTTAACACAGGTAAATAAGTCTCTAATTGTTGATATAAATATCACCAGAACAAAACTCCACGATCATATTACACCTGTGCTCAAATCCCTTCACTGGTTGCCCATAAACAGACGTGTTCAATATAAAATAATCCTCCTCACTTACAAGTACATCCGTGGTTTAGCTCCTGACTACCTGAGTGATCTTCTTCAAATCAAACGAGGAGAAAGAACAACTCAATCACCATCAAAACACAACTGTTTCGTTCCAAATACTTTGAAAATGTCCTGTGGTGATAGAGCTTTTCCAGTGGCATCACCCATCCAATGGAATAAACTCCCAGTAACATTAAAGGAAGCCAGAACATTAGAGTCCTTTAAATCATACTTGAAGACCCACTTATTTAATTCTGGATAGGGCTTTTTCAGTAGCAGCACCCATCTAGTGAAATAAACTCCCAGCAACATTTACAGGAAGCCAGAACATTAGAGTCCTTTAAATCATGCTTGAAGACCCACTTATTTAATTACGAATACCAAATGTGAAAGTGCAGCTCAGCGCTATTGCGTAAAACAGTTCTAGATGAGAGGCGCTTTATAAATTCATTATTATTAAAACTTCAACAATTTAACTCATTGCTATAAGTATATAAAATGGGTGGAAGAATCTCTGATACAGTACAGACTACAGAAACAAGCAGATCTAGGTGATATCGTAGAGGGGAAAGATGAAAGGGATCAAAAGGGGCAGCCACCTGAAACACATCCTGGATTTCCACCAAACAGTCTTGTGTTGCTAGAGGATTATTTTATTGACACGTTGATATATCTGGTCAAGAGGAGAATAAAAATAAAACAGTTTGACTATGTTTGTGCAAACTGGACTCGCACCAAATAAATTAATATGTTTAAAGTTTGTTAGCCTTTCAAATTAGTTCTATGAGTGAATATCTGCTAACATTGATATTATTTGTTAAGTGTATAGGTCATTAAAATTAGGGTCAACACCCCTGTCTTTTTCAGGGGTAAGTTAGATGACCTAGTTTGTGTGGAGTGGAGTTTAAACTCTCTTTTTCTCTCTCTGGTTCAAAGCTTTGTAGTCTTATTCAGTGTATCTAAGCAGTTCATAAAATATATGAGAGGAAAGTCTTTGCATAAATAGAACACATATTTTTTAATTATTTATTTAAACAGGGTCCAAATATCTTTGAGAGTTTGAAGATCTTATCACCGAATCCAGTCAAGTCACAATATCCAGTTAATATGGAGAAAGTTGGCCAAGTAAGATCAATATTTTCATAACTTAGTATCCTGTGCTACATTTTCCATCTGATCCATGGTAATAGTTACTTATTGTGTTAACAATTTATGTAATGGTTATATTAGTAATCAGTTCTACATTATCCATCTGATCCATGGGTTACAGTGCTATACACTGTGAACAATTTATGTAATGGTTATATGTTGTTCTGTCTGTATTTTGTTATGCAGTTTTCCTGTCTTCTTTATAAGGGGGTTTGGGTGGCCAAATCGTTTAACATGCACTTTATATCATAAGGTCTGTCAAATGGCATGGTTTCGATTCCCTGTTTGTACATGACAAAGAGTTGGGTCACCGGTCCAACCACATGGGTTTTGTCCAGTTTCTCTGGTATCCTCCCACTGCTAAAAGAACCTTGCTTGCATGCAAATTTTTAAAACAAAATTGAATCATATGGTAGTCCTAAAATGACCTAGTTTGTGTCTAGTGGATGTTAAACCACATTTCTCTCTCTATGTGTCTTGTTTAAACATTATTATGTCTGTATTTTCAGTATTATGGTTTTATTTTGTACCGACATACAAGTACTTCCAGTATATATAATGGCACTCTTCAAGTTCCTTATATAAGAGACAGGGCCCATATATTCATCAACAAGGTAACGTATATTATACATGTGTATAAATAACTAGTGTATGAATTATATTATACATGTGTATATAACATATATCATACATGTGTATATTACATATATCATACATGTGTATAAATAACTAGTGTATAAATTATTTTATACATGGGTATAAATAACCAGTGTATGAATTATATTATACATGTGTATAAATAACTAGTGTATATAATATATCATACATGTGTATAAATTACATCATAAATGTGCATAAATAACTAGTGTATATAACCTATATCATACATGTGTATAAATATCTAGTGTATATAACTTATATCATACATGTGTATAAATATCTAGTGTATATAACTTATATCATACATGTGTATAAATAACTAGTGTATATAGCTTATATCATACATGTGTATAAATAATTAGTGTTATTTAGTTTTACACAGATGGAAGTAAATAATTTTTTGAATTTAAATTGATCTCACACAACATGAATACAAATCAAAAGTATTTGAATATATATATATATATATAAATATTGACAGGAGCTGATCTGTATAATACATGGTGGTGAAACAAAGTGTCATGTGACCGTTTTTAAAGAGGGCCAGGATATGGATATTCTGGTGGAAAATCAGGGCAGACTTTATGGAGGAATGCAAATGATATTCAGTCAAAAGGTAGGAGTATAATGTATATGAGTAATTATAATTTATAGATATAAGTCTCTATCATACTATGTATATGACTGATACACAATTTATGATGATAATAGTCTCTGTCTACCAGACTATTATTGGCACGAGTTACTGTTAATCTGGATGACCTGGTCTATAATATATTTCTTTTTCAGGGATTGATTAGAAATGTAACATTAGATGGAAAAATAGTGAGAGACTGGACAATATTTCCACTGAATTTAGACTTGTTCAATCCAGGCACTCTGTAAGTTATATACAACATTTATTTGGTTCTTTTAAAAGGAAAATCATGGGAAGTTTCACGGCCACTAGTGCAATATGCCTTGCTATGGGTGTTGCTAATCATAATAAAAGATTGCATTACAGAGCTTGAGATCTAGGTTAACCATGAGCCTCTCTTAGGCCAAACAAAAAACATATTCTGGTTCTCAGACAGTCCTTACCAAAAATCTGACGCGGTTTGGGGGAGGGGGGGTCATTTTTGTGTTTTTATTTTGTCAAAGGATCACTACTTGATTAACGACTCTATTGATTCATTCAAATATATTATAAGGCGACATATAACACCAGTTATCATTGCTGTCCTAGAAACATTTATTGTTATTGATATTTCAGGTTCTATAAAACCAAAGATTCTGGACATATTCCTGGATTTTATTTTGGAAATTTTCAAATTCCATCCAAACTCGAGGAACCTCAGGACACATATATAGATGTTCAACCTTTTAGAAAGGTGAGTATAAATTTTACACCTGATCCCAGCCTGATCTCAGGTGAGTATATGTTTTACTCCTAATCACAGTCTGATACCAGGTGAGTATACATTTTAGACCTGGTCCCAGGTAAGTAGTATACTTTGTAGACCTGGTCAAAGGTAAGTATATGTTGTAAACCTGATCTCAGGTGAGTTTATATAGTAAACCTGGTCCCAGGTGAGTTTATTTAGTATACCTGGTCCCAGGTCAGTATACATTTTACACCTGGTCCCAGGTGAGTATATATATTGTATACCTGACCTGATCCCAGATGATTATACATTGTACACCTGATCTCAGGTGAGTATACATTGTGCACCTGATCGCAGGTCTATCGGCACTAATTTGACCTAAACACCATAGCTGTCATTCAGGATCTATCCAACACATGTTCTCAGAAAGTCACATAGATTTTTAAGACCATCAGTAAATTTATTCTCTGTTGTAGGTTCAGCTGTACATTAATAGTATGAATATAGAAACCTATATTGGCAAGTGACAAGAAGTAGAGTCGGCCTGTCCAACCTCGTGGGTTTTCTTCGGGTCCTCCCGTTTCCTCCCACTGCTAAAGACCCCTACGCACAAGCAAATTATTGAAATAGAATTGAACCATATATCAGTCCCGCTTTCTCTATATTGGCACACTTTATATAAGAATATTTGTTTGTATTTTCTAGGGTCAGCTGTTTATCAATGGAATAAATATAGGGAGATATTGGCCGTGGAAGGGACCACAAGTTACCCTTTATGTACCTAAATCAGTCCTGAAACCGTATCCAGGGAATAATATCGTTGTATTATTTGAATTGGATCATTCACCATGTGACTATAATGATTGTGCTGTTAAATTTGTAGATCAACCTAAACTTAATAAAACTGTTCTATCAACTCCTTGGACGAGGGATGTGGTGTTTGCTGATTATGCATGAAGAACCATAACCCAATATTTAGTGAATATATATATCGTTATGGTGGAAAATCTAAAAAAAACACATGGAAATTGTATCCATTTTGGGGGAATATTAAAATGGGTCTGTTTTTATTTTTTTATCTCCATTAAGAATTGTTTTTTTTTTGCATCATACTTCACAAATATTTGGAATACTTGATTTCAAATAATAATAATATATTTATTTCGTACTTAATTGAGTACACAATACACAAATACTTACAAAACTATGAGAAAAGTAATAAATATACAAAAAATATACATTCTCATAGTTAAATGTCTAATATGTGGACAAGTGATGAATAATTTCATTTAAATTGTTTTTATCCGTTTTACAAAACGTTTGATCCCTTAATAAATTCATATCATTTATTGCACTTACAGTTTGCATAGTAACATCATCAACATTATCGAGTGATGTTAGTTTCTGTAGTATAGTTTGGACACACAATTTACCTATGTCGTACTTATTGATATTATATCTATATGAAATTAAATTCAAGTTATTACATGCAGACGACAAACTACCATTTAAAGCTAACTGACCACATATAAAAGTAGCCTGATTCTTGCTACAAAGTACTGTGTGAATAAATTTAACAAAACGTTTCAATAACTGAACTTTTATGGGATAATCCGAACATATCAGATTTAATAAGTTACTGTGGGCATGTTGAGGTAAATTCCATAATCGTCGAATGCACTTTCTCCATGAACAATACAGCTTACCAATTGACTTATGCGAATAGTCTAACAATTGGGATCCATACAGAGGCATGCAATAAGTTTTGAACAATTTATATTTAAGAGAAGAGTAGGCATATCGAAATTCACTTAAAGTTATATTGACCCGTGATAAAAAATTATTGATACATCTATTGACTTGAGATTCTTTTGTATCGTGATCAAGTAAATTACCTAGGTGAATTTCAGATTTGACTAATTCTATATATTTTCCATTGAACAATATTCTGTCAATATTTATATCGTCATTCCTGGTTCTATCGTGATTCAGAAAAACAAGTTTACTCTTTTCTGGGTTGAAGTTTACATCATACTCTTGAGCATAATCATTGGCTATTTGCAAGAGTTTTGTCAGGGCATGACGAGATGGCGTAACAAGCGTCACATCATCTGCATAAGCCAGAGCTCCAGTATAAACGTGACCGACATGACAACCAAATTTGCTGTTTCTTAATCGAGACAACAATTCATCAAAATATATACTAAATAAAATTGGGGAAAGAACTCCACCCTGCTTAACACCATTTGAGACACAAAAAGGCTGTGTTGTACATTGAGCCCAACGGATTTGAACATTTTGAGTGGTATATAAATTTAACAATAAGCGAGCAATTAACGGGCATATACCTCTTTCGACAAGTAACTTAAAGAGCTTGATAAAATTTAAACGGTCAAAGGCCCGACTTGCGTCCAAATAACAGACAAAAACATCTGATTTCTTATTGTGATAATACCTTATAACCTCATTTAAAACAAATGAACAATGTATAGTAGAATGCTTAAGTTTGAATCCATATTGTAAGTCGGAGGAGACGAAAACATTCTTGCTTCTATGTAGTATAATCCAGTCTAAAATTTTCCCTATAATGCTACTGAGTGCAATTCCTCGGTAGTTATCAGAATTATTCAATGACTTTTTTCTATTTTTTGGAATAGATATTATTGTAGATGAGGCAAGTGATGATGGGCAGTATCCATGACAAAGGAGGGCTGTCAAAACTAACGATAAATGTACATGAAAACTATGAGGGGCATGGATAATATGGTCAGTCGAATGTCCAAAGCTACCGTCATTTTTTCCGACCTTTAGATGCTTTATGGCAAGGATGACCTCATCAACCGAGATCTTATGAGAGTCGGTGCAAGAGCACGTGTGAGAAGAGCTCGAAATGGAGGCCTCAAGTTTGTTCTGCAGTCTGATCATATCATCCATGTTGTACCCAACACTGTTATACAGCTTATTATACTTAGTGGCGAACATTTCAGAAATTTCCTCATCTCCAATAACACCATCAATATTATTAGACATAGATTTGGAACAACCTTTAATACGTTTAACCTCACCCCAGAAATCCCTTGTGTTATTGGTCACTAGAGAATTGGCCAGTTTGTTGGAGGATATCATATTTTTATTCTGTTTAACCTGCTTCAGAATAAGGTGATATTTCGACCTTGTTCGAGATCGAGTTTCTGCTATATGACCAGACCTGGGGCGATTATTGTCCTTCCAGACATTGTGCCAGAAAATAGCAGTCTGTCGTGCATCGAATACGTGATCATTCCAGCCTGGAATGGGGTTTTTACTATACTTGTTAGGACATTTACCTCTCTTAGGGATAGTTAACTTTGCAGCCTTAGTGCTAAATATGATAAGTTGATCAAAATATTTCTCAAGAGAATAAGAGTGCACTTTGCACTTAAAATTAGAACAAGTAATCGACTCAGTTGGCACATCAATATTAGTTAACATTTGATTTAATTCATTTTGATAATTTAGAATGTTCTCATTGGTAGCTGCATACCAGTTTACCATGTCAGGTTTAATGGTTTTTGTATGAGGAGCATGGTCATCATAAAAAATATCTAACGACAATCTGATTGGGCTATGATCCGAGAGGTTATCGCCGTCGTGTAGACAGTTCACATCAGAGATATAATCAGTTAAGTTCTGTGATACAAAGAAATGATCAATTATTGACCTATTACCTGTAATTTTGCTTTCGTATGTGTAGCCGAACGTATTGTTATTGCGTATAGTCATATTGACAAGCATATTGTTGTCTATAAAATCACTCAAAAGTCTAGTATTAGACGAATTAAGTCTTGAAAAATCAGTATTGAAATCACCACCAAGAATGAGATGTTCAGTATTCGTTTCACAGATTAGTTGACTGATTTCATTAAGTGTATTTTCAAATTCAACTGTATGTTCCCCGTCACAGGGCATATAAACACTACATATTAAAAATTCAATGTTTTTTAAAGATACAATGACAGCACATATCCGTTTGGATTGGAATGCCACAGGGCTTATACTACAAACAAGAGAGTTTTTCCAAAGTATTGCACATCCTCCATACGGTCTTCCGAGAAGAAACGTGTCACACTCCATTCCAGAGGTGCCATGCACACTAACATTATTAATTTTATGTTCGAATTGTATGAGTTCCCTTTGAAACAGCCAGTGTTCTTGGATTAACACGATATCATGGTTATCACTAAGGTATTTTATGTATTCAAACCTACCAATTCCATGGCCGTGTGAGTTATATGATGCTATTGACAGGGGCATTGAGAGGTTCTAGGTTGGTTTTTCCTGGCGTGGAGGGACATACTTTCTTATTCTGACGCCATTCGGCCATAAAGAGTCATCAAATAATCTTTTGAACTCTGATATTGGCACAGATAATTTAAAGGATTTGAATTTGGCTTCTGGGTTTGAAATACATGAGACACCTTTTACTGTAAAATCATGATTTGTCACGTGTTGTGATATCTGGTTTTCAGTTGTGGTATTATCAACTCGGTAGATAAATAATTCTCGCACAGGTTCTGGTGCTCCCTTAAAACTGCTCCGACTAGGAGAGGTACATTTACCGGTAATTATCTGACGTCTCTTACTGTCGTTACGTTTTTTCTGCTTCTGGGCATAGAGTGGAAGCTGGAAGCCATCATTATCACCATTATCATTGCGATGTGTATTTGCTGTGATACGGGAATCTGTGCTCACTTCTGTATTGAGAGATGCTACACTTAAACGATCAGAAGAGCGTTCTCTGGGTTTCGGAAGTCGTAGAAGAGATCTAGCTCCATTGTTATTACTGGAGGGTAAGCCTCTAGTTAATTGTTTGTTTCTACTGATCGTTTCAGTATCTGGGATGGTTGGTATACGAATAGATGCGGCATAAGATTGTTTGGGTAGAGAATCTAGTCTCGACTTAATTGATAGATTATCACAGATGGTATGATCGAGTGCTTCTTGTAAATTAGAAATCTTATTTTCAAACCTGTTGAGTCTTTCAACTATTGACAATGTGTCCAACTCTTCTGGATAACTTTTTGGTATCTTCCCGAGATCCATGGCACTAATTGTAAATTCTGGCACACTGTCAACTTTATCCAGTTTATCTAGGGCACTAAGAATATCCATCACATGAGCCTCTTTCTCGGGTCGTACAACAGAGTCTTTCCTACGAGCCTTTTCTCCAATTATGCTAACATCACTGACATTCCAAAGCTTATTCTTACTTTCTATGATATTTTCCAGTGTAAAATGACCCATTACTGCATTTTTAATGATATCCGATGTACTATTTTGAAGAGAGTAAACAATATACCCCAGCAACAAGTCAATAATCACAATTGTTTTTGGTTCATTCACTGACTCGACATCAACAGAATTCACAGCCTGATTAGACTGGTGATTGGTATTAGTTGGGTTGGTATTCGTTTTCTTGTTTGAGTTGACATGAGTAGATCTTTTTGGCAATGCACCATACCTTTGTTCAAAGCAATCTTTACATAAATTCATATCACCCTGAGTTAGGTTGGCTTCTGCTCCTTTACGCTTGAAGGGGCATGGCCCATCAGGTATTCCGTCACACTTCATTAACCCTTATTTGGTATAATATTATCATATATACAAAATCTATTTTCACAAATATTCCAGAATATAGCAGAACTACACAAAGATGGAAATATCCCTCTTTAACACATAGTTATCCTATTACATCCATAAAACTCTGATGAAATTTGAAAGTGTTCTTTGGCAAGTGGGTTAAATGTGCCGATTAGCTTTAAGTCGATCAAATCACACCTTGATGTGATTTAGGGTAATCGATATCGATAAATTTGTTGATTAGGGTAATCAATTTTGAAATCGATGTAGATAAATTCGCTGGTTGGGGTAATCAATTTGAATTACATTGATGTTAAAAATGAAAATTTGATAGACTGCATATCACTTTGTCTAATCAGTGTCTGATTTAAATACCTCTAATTTATCAATTTAACTGTATACTGACGTAGTATACTCTTATAATTATGCTGGAACACTACAGAGTAATTTCTGAATTTAGCTATGCTATATACTGACATGTTATACCCTAAGCTATTATACTGAAAAAGTATTTTTAATTTGCTATATGCTGATGCTTTTTTATACTCACGTTTGTTACTCGTATGTTTTTACTCTGTTATTTTTTATACTGATGCTTTTTTATACTCACGTTTGTT